CAATCCCCCTTGGCTGTGTGTTTTCCTTCGCCCAGAGCAGGGCAGGGGAAGAGGGGGGATAGGAAGGATGGTGAGGGCCACTCAAAGCTTACACAAGCCACCACTACAAGTCTCGGCAGGGCTCAAGGCTCGTTTGAAGCCCAGGCTCAGATATTGGGAATTGTGCAAGATACCGAGATTCTAAGCAGCAGTCTGGGGTCAGAATCCCCACAGCGCCTGCTGGTGTGAGCCCATCTCTAGTGCAGGGTGTGGCACATCTGAAAGACAAGCCAACTTCTTTCCTAATGGCATGGGGATCCATGACTGAGCTGCTTGGTGATCACATTACCCCCCGCCCCTCATTCATGCCCGACAACATTGCTTATGAAGGCCTCTCCCTGGAAGGCACAACGGACTGTGTGAACAAAGGGAGTTGATTTCTGTCCACCCATGCGTCTGTCCATCCAGGTTCTTAGTCTCTCTCTGACCGGTACTTATGTTTGCTGTCTATAGACATGGAAATCTACATGACTTATGTAGCCTTTTGGGCCACTGCCGCGGGAATTTGCACAGAACAATATGGTCCCTTTCCGCATGCACTCACCGCTGCCTTCTACAGGAGACCTGCCCTTTCCTTTCAAAAGCTGAACAAAAAAAGCACCTCTGTAGCTGATCATCTTTCCAGAGACGAGTTTCCTTGCATTGACGTGATTTATGCTGAGATCTGTGTTTCTGGAACTGGAGATCAAGCGTTTGCAGCCTATAACCTTTAGTTAGTGTTTCAGTAACGACAGGAATATGTGACTGAGGGCTTACCTACACTTACAACGCTGCAGCTGTTAAACTCTAGCACTCAGAGAAGACACGATTTAACCAACAGGAGAGCATCTCCTGTAGCCATAAGTACTCCACTTTCTCCGAGAGCTCATAGTGTTATTGACGGGAGAAGCACTGTCTACTGTGAGGGTTTGTCATTACAACTGCATCACGCAGGGAAGTGGATTTTCCATACCTCTGAGTGACGTAGTTGTACCGACATTAGGGATGAAAAACAGCATTTAAATAGTTAACCAGATAACATTTTAGTTGTTTAACACTTGACTGGTTAACTGCCTGCCTGCTCTGGGCCACTCCACCACG